AAAGCTGTTTTAGATGCATCAGGCTACCCTCCTTAGGCAGAAAATCAGCAGTGCTGCTGAACTCAATCCATGAGAATGAATGAGTTAGTCAACTTTCTATTGAGAGCCTCATTCTGCTACCAGGTTGGGCTGATGGTACAGAGATGATGTCCTAACCCGTGTCCCATCATCTGTGAACCTGGCCCCAAGATGGAGATGAGAGCAAAAGCAGAGTGGGTCCTGTTGCTTTCTGTCATACTGGGACAAACAAGAAGATAGGAAAGGCTTTATTCAGATGGAAGAATTCACTCCCTGAGACCTTACTGCTGAATTCTGCAGAACTCTGAGGCTAATATTGACTTATTGCTCTAATTCAGAACAAAGTAACAGAATATTGGGGGGAGGGATAGCTCAGTGGTTTGAGCATTGGCCTGCTAAACCCATGGTTGTGAGCTCAATCCTTAAGGGGGCCATTTAGGGTTCTGGGGAAAAAAATCTGTCTGGGGATTAGTCCTGCTCAGAGTAGGGGGTTGGACTAGATGACCTTCTGAGGTCCCTTCCAACCCTGATATTCTATGAATGTGACAATAACTTTTGCTGTATTAAGGGACCCAACTGGAATGCTTCCCAGGGCCTTCCAGGTTTGCTTCAACTATCCTTGCTGCCATTATAGTTGCTAATTATGGTAATGAGTTTTTTTGTGTTTGAGTATATCTGTGTGCATGTGTGTTTAATTAAGAGCACACATACACAACATGGGAACTTGCCAAATTAATTTCACATAGGCTGCTGAACAGCCACCAAATGGATATTTCATCATTGTATCTAATAGAAAGGAAAATAATGTTCAACAATAAAAAAGGGGTCTGTTCTCGCCTGCATAATGTAACTCCCCTTGAATGGAATAGAAGATACAAATATGTAACAAAGATAGCATAGATTGCTGTATTTGCTCAAAAATCTATATTTTGCAGGTTTAGATTCTGCAATCAAAACAGTCTTCCTAGTTGGTCAGGTGTAAAGTGCACTGAAATGAGTTTTCACTTTTTAAAACTAAGTACTGTACATCTTACAGTTTAACCTCATGCAAATCAAAGAGGGCAACTATAACTCTTAAAGAATATGAATAAGTGATTGGCCAATTAATATGAGAAAGCTGTTCACTAAAGCAGTTTCCTATCCATATCTTTATTTGAAAATTATTTTAAAAGAAACAATTTTTTCCTAGCGGAGCCATAATTTCATTTATGGCTTTTTAAGTCGTACAATAGTGGGTTAGTCCTTTTCAACATAAGTGTCTAATTAGTTTGATGGATTTTAAAAACCAGCATTTAGGTCCAAAACCTATGAAGTTAATTCCAGATAAATTTGATTTCAATTACTGTCAAAAGACTGATATTTATTCTGCTCTTACCTTGTGCAACTTGCTTGAAAGAACACCTGTAAAAGATCAACAGTTGGTTTGTGCTTACAAAAGTCCACTAGAAAAATTTTCTCCATACAGAATTGTGAATGGCTGGGATTCCTTACCTCCTGTGCCAGTCTCGTCTCCCGACAGACAGTATTTATTTTCAGGAAGGTGGACATCATGTTCCAAATCACTGGTATGTATATTCTATAACAATATTTGAGTTTTAGTGAGTGCAAAAACACAGAAACTAAAAATATATGGTAACTATGACAATTTATGTTTAATAACTTTATGAACTGGAGCGAGGAAATGGAGAATGGAGAGAGATGTTAACAGGAATAGCTGTGGGATAGAGAAATTATATGAAGTAAAGGTACATTGCCACTTGGCCTGCTGGGAGACCTTGGGCAAGTCACGTCACCTCTCTGTGCCTCGGTTTCCCCATCTATAAAATGGGATAATATTGACCTCTGAAATAAAGTGCTGTGAGATCTACTGATGAAAAGTGATATATAAGATCTAGGTGTGTGCCAGAATAAGAAATACATTGAAAATAATAATATTGTGCATTCATATCATGCCTTTAATATCAAAGTATCCCAAAGCAATTTACAAATCACAGTCCTGATCCTGCACAGGGCTTCATGTGGGCAGACCTTTTTTCCTTTGCAAAGTCCTATTAATTTGACTGGGGCTCCAGATGGAAGGGTGGGTCTGTCTGTATAGGGTTCATTACGGGATTGGGGCTTTAGGGTTGTGCATAAGTAACTGCAGGCATGAGAATTACCACTGGCTTTTTCAGTAAGACTACTTGTGTGCATAAAGTTATGACCTTGTGTTTGTGGAACCCACTGTTTGGTAATGTGTGTGTCCTCCTCTGCACCTAATCCACAGAAGCGCTGAGTGTCTTATAACCCCAGCTGCAGAGCCTGACCCTCGTTGTGACAGCCTGTAGCCACTCATGCTTTCCGTTTCGTAGGGGCGCGTTTTAACCTTGAGTGGGGGTCAAAGCTGGTGGCTGTCACGTCTGCAGACTCAGGAGCCGGAGCAGAAGCAGCGAGGTGAAGAAGGGGATCACAAGCAGTAACAACCACGGAAAGGGAGCGAGCAAGTAGGGAACTGGCACCACAGCCCCGGACTCTCAGCTCTAAGGCACGTAGACTCACGTTTGGTGCCCTCGACGGCAGTGGTTTAAGTTGTATTTACAAAGACAAACAACCAGCTGCTGCCCGCCCCCCCCGGACCCGCCCAGGCCAAGCACACGTGGGGGCGATGGCTCCGCTCTGCTCCTGCAGCAGCGAGGCGGGGCGCCTGTACCTGGCGGGAGTCGGAGAGGCTGGTGAGCGGGAGGCTGGTGCCATAGATGCCGCCTGTGAAATCCCCTCTGTCCACAGCGCTGCAGCGCCAGCTCCTCCTGCCAAACCTGGGGGGAGAGAGCGCAGGGGCGTGAGAGGGGGGCAGCCGCCGGCCGGGCCTGGGGCTGGAGCGGCCCGCTCCCCCCCACCTACCCTCGGAAGCCCCCGGGTGTCTGTGTCGCGGCAGCTCCGGCCCCGCTCCCGGCCCGGTGCATCGGACCCTCCTCCCGCCGTCGCCGCCTCCGCTTCGGCCACCCCGCGCTGCAGCGTCCCCGGCCCGCCCCGCGTCACAGGGAATCACTATGGGAACGGCCGGGGCCCAGCCGCTGCCCCGGCCCCACATAGGCCTGTCACCCAATGGGGGGGGAGGAGCGCCCCATCTCCCTTCGTTTCTCCTCCCCCCTGGAGTATTTCCCTCCTCCACTCTCCACGTTCACATCTTCATCCTCAGTGCGCCTTGTCTCACATCTGCATGTTTGCCTGGCCCCACCTCTACAACACTGCCTCAGTTCTACCACTGAGGATGAAATCTTCAACCTAGGCCTTCATCTCCTCACCCCTTGGCTAGTACAGGTCCTTTGTCTGTAGCCTCTCCACGTTCCAGTTCTCCTGACTGCAGCATATATAGATAGGGTGACCAGACAGCAAGTGTGAAAAACTGGGACAGAGGGTAATAGGCGCCTATATAAGAAAAAGTCCCAAATATCAGGCCTGACCCTATAAAATCGGGACATCTGGTCACCCTATATATAGAATGCAAGGCCTGATTTTTTAGTCATACAAAAGGAAAGCAACTGTATAACTCCTTCTCAGATAACTCAATTGGGTCCTTATTTGTTTAGGGTCCAGTTTGTATATATCCGCCCAGAACTTGCTCTAGGTTTTCTTCTGCTCCCTGCCCTGCTCATTAAGCACCAAGCTCTCCACTCCATTTCTTCGCACAATCTCACTTGTTCCAGATGGAGAGTCATCACGGTGGCTTTGACCAGCTAAAACAGCCTTTCTGTATAGCTCTGTTCTTCATGTATTTTTCCATTGCATCCCACTCCAGTACCAACTTAGTTGGTACTGCTTCCATCACCAGTGTGGTGCAGTTAGCTTCTGTCCAGCTACCTTTACTACATCTGGGGACTTAATAGCTATGTCAGAATCTCCCCATCTTCATGTCTCACTGTTATCAGCAGCTTCCTCCCTGATGATTTTTCTACACTCATCATCTTCACAGATATCCATCTCTCAACCACTCTCTTCAACTTCCTCAGATTCTGCAGAGATCAGTACATCCTACAGAGAAGATGTATTCTTACTGAGTCTTCCTCTTTCGATACAGCAGAAGTCCTCCAAGGATTGCCTCCTCTTTTTTTGGGTCAGTTCATGAGGAAGAACTAGCGAAAGGGATGTCAGGGCATTCTCTCTCTCACTGCAGGAGTTCTGGCAGATTACAAGTTCCATGGATTCCTCGACTTTGGCGTCATATGGCCTATCCTTATGGTAACCAGTCCTGGCCTTACTGGAACCCTCAACTTGATTAATCTGCTGCATATGCTTTGAGAGTCCCTTTGTCCAGGAATAGGTCTTTTCCTACTGTGCAGCCTTCAAGATTAGTGCAACCATCTTGGCAGAGTGACCCTCGTGATTTGGGAGAGGAAATCCAAAGTGAGAATGATGATGATATGTATCCTTCTATTCCTTTGACAATTTCTTCATCTTTGCTGGATTAAGTGGTCAATCTATCTACGATGGACCATTTAAAGACTTTTCAAGGTCTCCTAGAGAGGATGGCTGACACCTTAGAAATCCTTTGGAAGTTGTACAAGAATAGTAACATAAATAGTTTGATGCATTACACCGTGCAATTCAAGGTCGATTGGCAATGCCCATACACAAAGGTATCCTTGAACCAGTCAGGGATCTATGGCAGACCCAGCTAAGATGGAGGCTATCTCCCAAACAAAAAGAGCATCTATACTGAGTCCTTCCAAAAGGTTTTGAGTATTGTTATACTCCTCATGTTCCAGCTCTTTAACAGTGGCTGCTGTTCATGAGAAAGCTAAGCAATACAGTTAGCCAAAGTCAACACCAAGGGGTAAACATTTGAAAAAAATATACCTATTCAGGAGAAGGTGTATTCCTGCACTAGCTTTAAGATTGCCAATTACCATGCTTAGCTAGCCAAACATGACTACCTCCAATGAGACAAGATTTCCTAGTTTATGGGAAAACTTTCAGAGGACTCAAGAGTAGAGCTAAATTCCATGTCCTTAGATCAGCTGATTGATAAGGTGGCTCTACTAGCAGCACTGGATGCATCTGACAAAGACACAAGAATAATGGCCATTGCTGTCACCTTGCAGAGGACATCATGGCTGCAGTCATCAGGCATTCCAAAAGGGGTCCAGTCTACAATTGAGGACCTTTTGAAGGTCATGAATTTTTTAATTCAAAGATCAATGAGGGATTTCACTAAATTAAAAGATTCTAGAGTGACATTTTGATCCCTGGACCCATACACTCCAGCCCAGAGGAGAAAGCAGATTAGGTCTCAGTCTTTTCTAAAAGACAGAGATCACCTTTATCATAATTTTACCACGAGAAGTCCTCAGAACCCTCTAAGAAAAGACCTCATTTTCAGAGGAAGAGCAGTTTGACACAACATCTGGCCTGAAGGCACAAGTTTGTGGCCACAGTCAACAGTCTTGAACTAATTTAAAAGGATCTATAACCCTTCCTCCTTCCATTTGGCAAACACTTGTCTTTTGTTGTTGGCAAACATCTTTCTTTCTTTTTGGATGCATGGACTGGAATCACTATTGACTGCTGGGTCCTCAAAGTTATCCAGAAAGGCTATTCAGTTCAATTCTAGTCCTAACCAATTTTTCACCTCCCAACTTTCTCCATTCTCTGGGACACCTCTCATGACAGCTTGCGACAGCAAGAGCAAGACTCTCCTCTACATCTGAGTGCAATAGAGAGGGTTTGGGGGCAGAGGATTTTTTTACTCATTCAAAGGAGAGCAACTGAGTTTTGGGGCAGAGGATTTTATTCCCATTACTTACTTATTCTGAAGAAGAAAGGAGAGTAGCATCCCATATTGGACCTCAGGTGACTCAAAAAGTTCATCCATAGGCTTCAGTTCAGGATGGTCACTTTAGCCTCTACAATCTTCTCCCTAGATCTACTGGATTGGTTCACGACCCTCAGCAAGCTGAGGACGCATACTTGCAGGACGCATACTTCCCAATCTCCTTCTCTCCATCCCACAGGAAGTACATGTAATGGTGAAGGAAATTCATTACCAGTTCCAAGTGCTACCATTTGGTTTTTCTGTGGCACGAAGGATGTTCATCAACTAGTGGTGGTAGTACTGCATCTGTGAAGACAAGGTCTTCACATTTATCCTTATCTCAATGACTTACTGATTCAGGGGAAATGGCCACAGCAGGTCACCAAGACAGTGTAGGTGGTTCTCCATCTATTCTCCTTGGTAGGCCTCTGGATTAGTCAAGTCTGCTCTCACTCCTATTCTGTCAATAAAGTTCATAGGAACACTTCTCAACTCAAGATCAGCAAGCTTACCTTCCTCACAACAGATTCTGCATCATAGGGCATCTCATATTAGCTCTTTACACTAAAAAAAAACCATCAATCTCAGTTTATTGGGTCATAGATTCTTTTGCATTTATGCAATGCTGCATGCCAGACTTCATCTGAGTCCTCTTCAGGGTTGGTTAACATGGATCCATCTGCGAAGCAGACACATCATGAATGTACAAGTCCTTCCCCCTGGGGTTTTATCATTTCTGCTGTGGTGCAAGAATCTGAAAAATGTCTGCCAAGGTGTGATGTTCACATCACTATCCCCTAGTGCTAGAACTCAGGGTCATTAATTTGGCTTGTGAAGCATTTTTACTTCTCATCAAGAGACCACCATCCAAATCCTGATAGTGCATCACTGCAATATTGTCTATGTAAACAGACAAGGAGGAACAAGATCATCCCCTCTGTGTCAGGAGATTATTCATCTACGGGTGTGGTGAGTTCAGCATTGTCAGTTTGATAGCCCTGCGCTTGACTGGGTTCAGAATAGTTTAGTAGGCCAAGTCAGCCAGAAGTGCTCTTCCATTCATAAATGAACCCTGAAAGGTTCAGTCCCCACAGTTACGAAAAATTTATGGGACGTTTCCATCACAGACTTTTTTGCAACCAACTCAAACAAGAAGTGTTACATTATTTTGCTCCCAAGGAGGAATGCGTCCAGGCTTCCTTTGGATGCATTTCTGATTTGGTGGAACACAAATCTAATATAAATTTTCCCTCTGATTCCATTAGTTCCCAGAATCCTCAGAAAAATAAGCCAGAGCAAGACCCAATTAATTCTGACAGCACAATCGTGGGTGCACCAGTTTTGGTACTTGGAGCCAATGTATCTAGAAGTTTGTCCATCTTCATACTCGCAGTTCTTCCAGAAAACATTTTGCAGAGCCTATTCTACATCTGGACCCATCTACATCATTTCTACATCTGATAGTATGGGATAGCTGGCTAAGTTTGGTAGATATATGTTGTTCTTCTACAATGCAGGACATTCCAATTCATAGCAGGAAAGTTTTGTTGAGGTTTATATATAAAGCCAACTGGAAACATTTTCCATTATGGGCTGCTTAACATCCTCTTCAATCCTTGGAGACTTCCATTCCTATCACTCTGGATCATTTGTTATCCCTGAAACTCTCAGGACTTTCAGTCAGCTCCATTAAGGTTCATTTTGCAGCAGTGTCACCCCCCCCATTCAGGGTCTCTCAGTATTTTCACACCTGACTGGGTCTAAATTTCAGAAGGGATTGGTTCATGTGTTTCCACCAGTTAAGGAAATTCCCCCTCCCTAGGATTTAAATATAGCACTTCTATCTTTGATGGAACACCTATTTGAGCTTATGTCATCATGTATTTTATACCACCTTTTCTATTAAAACAGCATTCTTGGTGGCTTTTACATCTGCTTGAGTGAACAAGATTCAGGCATTAATGGCAGGACTTCTTTTCACAAGACAGAGCAACTCTTTGACCTCACCAAAAACTTTTATTCAAAGTAGTTTCAGACTTTCACTTGAACTAGTACATAAATACATACACACTATTACCAGTATTTTTACCTAGGGCAGTGGTTCCCAAACTTGTTCTGCTGCTTGTGCAGGGAAAACCCCTGGTGGGCCAGGCCGGGTCGGGTTGTTTACCTGCCGCATCCGCAGGTTTGGCCGATTACAGCTCCCAGTGGCCGTGGTTCGCTGCTCCAGGCCAATGGGAACTGCTGGAAGTGGTGGCATTACGTCCCTCGGCCCGCGCTGCTTCCAGCAGCTCCCATTGGCCTGGAGCAGCGAACCGCGGCCACTGGGAGCCGTGATCGGCCGAACCTGCGGACGCGGCAGATAAACAACCCGGCCCGGCCCGCCAGGGGCTTTCCCTGAACAGGCAGCGGAACAAGTTTGGGAATCACTGACCTAGGTCCTCACTCATCTCCTGCAGAAGCAAAATTCCATACATGGTGCACTGAGTGCCCTTTCCTATTATCTCCCTAGGATAAAGCCTTTCTGCAAGTCACCCAGTCTGTAACTTTTGGAGACGGTCTAGAGGGCAGGCTATTTTGCCTCTGAGATTCTCAAAGTGACTTTCAGACTATCAGGATTTCACATGAATTTAATAAATTAGCTTCCCCTTCTCAGATCAAAGCACACTCCTAGAGCTCAGGCAGCCTTCTTAGCTTATTTGAGGAGCATTTCTAGATCTGAAATCTTTAGGGCAGCTATTTGGCGCTTAATACATACCTTTACCAATCATTATTCCCTAGTGGTAGACTCTACACCTGACATTCAATTTGGCAGGGTAATCCTACAGTCCTTATTTAAATAGGATTCCTGGCACTCACCTCGTTAAGGAGACAACTGCTAGAGTTGGATCCATATGAACAAATACTCAAACAGTTACTGTAATGTAAGTAACCGTGGTTCTTCAATTATTTTGTCCACACAGATCCCATGAGCATCCTTCTTCCACACTAATGCAAAGTCCTTTAGCTTTGGAATTCTCTTCTGTATTGGCATTTGGGGCTGCTATGCCCTTTATGCCTTTGAGTGGAGGGTGCAAGGATATGTAGAGTGCATGCATGGCCCCAACAGACACTACTGGCCAAAAAAAAAATCCAATCTTGGGCAGTGGGAACATATTCGTATCTAGAATGGGATCCACATGGAGAAATCATCTAGAAGAACAACAGGTACTGTAAAGTAAGTAACAGGTCTCTTCATTGACTAAACTGTAGGTCTGTCTAGGAATTCACACCAAATCTAACTTCACATTCCATTTCAAACATATTTTCTTCCTTTGCCTATGTCTCTTCTCTTTGCCACAGATGCTACTTTTTATTTTAATTCTATTACTGTATTCTGCACAAAGTGTTTTGGGATACAATTTGTGTGGATGGCACTTGTAAAAAAAATCAAGTGTTTGGAGTTGCAAACAGTTTCAGAAGAAGTTAAATCATTTGTAGCAGTTGTGCTTATTTTTTTACATAGTAAGGACATTGGGATTCTCCTATACTGTAGTAGTATTTATTGCTGGAAACAATGATAGAGAAGGTTGGGAATATATTTCCCTTTTGCTAACTGCCAGTTTTTTGTACTCCTTTATAATCTTTTAAAAAAATGTTTGTTTTGTGATGCAACATGCTAATTCCCACCCCCTCTTTTTTTTTTTGATGAGTGATAAATGAAGTGGGTGTGAGGGCTTAGCTGAGACTAAACATGTTTCTGCACAAAATAAATCCACTGCCACACCACAACTAAATTTTCAGAACCTCTTGCAGTTGTGTACTTCTCTCATCTGAGTCCCCTGTTCCTTCTATTAGTGAATTTCAATACTACGCAATTTGTTCTTGCTCCAAACGAATTATGTAAATAGAATTAGTCCCAACGACAAGTACTGGAAGACAATACTTGTTATCTTTATCCATGTCTAATTGTTTCCATTTATTATTTGTCTGTATTCTTGTACTCAACTAGATTTATAGCTGCAGTGTTGCTCCCTACAAATTTCCTTGATTCTTCATATTAACGTTGTATCTGAAATGCTATTAAAATCCCTACTAAGCTCCATGTAAATGTATTCCCTGTTCTTCAGATACTTACTAATATCAATCTCTACTTTTTTTAGTCAATAATATTTTATGCTTTATTTTAAAACCCACAGTTTCAGTTAAATTGAAATTACTGCTCATTAGCACGAAAACACTGTCTGGAATCCTCTTCCTCATAGTGAAATCTATCAACTCTATTGTCCTGGAATAAAATGTTGTCCTCCAAGCAGCGTGATCAAGTATTCTTGAGATCATCTTTTCTCTTTGCACATTGCTGAATCTCTTTGTGGCTGAGACCACACTGCTTTATAATAAGAAGCAGGATAAATGGAAGATTCAGTGTTGAGAGAGAATACAACAGTTGCCTTTACTACAAAAAATAGTATCTGCCATAATGGCATGATTAGAAGAGCCTGACTAGAAGAGCAGAGAAAATTTGACAAGGACTATGCATATGGGATCAATTAAGTTAATGATATATATTTAGTTTAAATACATGGAATATTGCCATCAAATCACAGAAACAAAATATATAGCAGTTCAGAGTTTATTGCTATCTGTTGGGGAGAGGGGAATATATGTTCGCTTAAAACACCACTTTCACATCCTAAAAATATCAATAATAAACCAAGTTAAGACCTTGAAAGTATAATAAAATTGATGAATGATAACATAAAAGCTGAGTCTGAACATTTGTTTCCTGACAGCATAGCAAATCATAAATCATGATTACAATTGAATAATCTCACAATGTGCTGCTGTATACCTTTTTATAAGTACAAGTTTATCAGAACTCTGTTCTTCAGAACTTTACTCTGTCATCAATCACCAAGACATTATGGCCCAATCAAAAGGTCTAAGGAGGACTTACAGCTTAGGGTTTCAATTAATATGTGGATTGCAGCAAGGTTACATTAGACCGATAGTACACACTGTTCAGACTGAATATACACTAAATAGGTAAATGAACACCTGAAGAATATATTATGGTCTACATTATTTTTAGATTGTGGGCAAGCCATTTTGGCTGGGCTATATGTTTAGCATGCACACATCTGAAAATTTTTGTTTTCATAGGTAGTAATAGCTATATTTTGCGTTTTAAAGAGTTAGGTGTGTTCTCATGGTTACTAAACACTTTTTTTTTTATGGTCAGTGAGTGGAACCAAAATGTTCAATGAAAAGGCTCAATTATTCCACAACTACTCCTTAAACCAATAAATGTTCCCCAGCTCTTAGCCCCACTCCACAGTTACTTTGTGAGATATACAACCCTAAATATAAGACAAATCAATCTTTATGTTTCACACTTGATCAGGATCTTCAGAATTGGAAGAACTGACAATGACCACATCAGAGCGGCCAGGTCTACACTACAAACTCATATTGGTAAAACTACATTGTTCAGGGGGTATGAAAAATCCACACCCCTGAATGACACAGTTATACCAACCTAACCCCACCCGTGTAGACAGAACTATGTCAACGGGAGGGCTTCAGCTATCAACATAGCTACCACCTCTTGTGGAAGTGGATTAACTATGACGATGGGAGAAGCTCTCCCATCAGCGTAGTAACATCTTCACTGAAGCCGTGACACTGCAGTGTTTTAAGTGTAGACCTGCCCAGAGGCTGTCATATAAAAGCTGGCATGGTAGAATTGGTCCAATACATATGCGGGGGGGTAGGGGGGGAGGGGAGTTTTTCCTCACAAGATTTATTAGGTTGTAATAACTTGCATGTTTGCCCAAATTTTTTCCTTCAGTTATTAACGAAGCAGTCACTAACGCTGACCAGCCTAATTAAGGTTTCATAATCATTTCCATTATAACCTTGTTTTCATATACTTTTAACTATGCATAATTTCTCTCTTTGGGGATGAATTTTTCCAAGTTTCTCCTCTACTTAATTATTTCTCCTGAAAAGCTGAGGAAAAATTGTGTCAGTCACTTCTGAGTTAAAAGAATGAAAAAATAATTTGTTTCTGCTGTTAACAAGTTGCTCTTATGCTTTTCCACATGGAGATAAAATAAAATAACTATGTTGAGTAATTTTGTATCATCTGCAAATTTTGCCACGTCACTGTTCACTCCCCTTTTTCAGATCATTTATGAAGATGTTGAACAGCACAGGTCCCAGTACGGATCGTTGGGGGACCCCACTATTTACCTATCCCCATTGTGAAAGGTGACCATTTATTCCTACCCTTTGTTTTTGATCTTTTAAGAAGTTACTGATTCATGAGGGGATGTTTCCTCTTATCCCATGACTGCTTACATTGCTTAAGAGCCATTGGTGAGGGACCTTGTCAAAGGCTTTCTGAAAGTCCAAGTATACTATATGGACTGGATCACCCTTAAGAACTCTAATAGGTTGGTGAAGCCTGATTTCCTTTTACAAAAGCTGTGTTGACTCTTCCCCAATATATCATGTTTTATTTGTATCTGATATTTCTGTCCTTTATTATAGTTTCAGTTAATTGGCTTCGTACTGAAGTTAGGCTTACTGGCCTGTAATTTCCAGGATCACCTCTAGAGCCCCTTTTTTTTTTAAATCAGCATTACATTAGCTACCCTTCAGTCATCTGGTACAGAGGCTGGTTTAAGTGATAGGTTACATAGCACAGATAGTAGTTCTGCAATTTCATATTTGAGTTCCTTCAGAATTCTTGGGTGAATACCATCTGATCCCAGTGACTTATTACTGTTTAATGTGTCAATTTGTTCCAAACCTCCTCTATTGGCATCAGGGCCGTCTCTGGCTTTTTTGCCACCCCAAGCAAAAAAAAAAACCAAAACCCCCCAAAACAACCTGCAGCACGGCCGGAGTGGCAAAGCAGGA